TCCTGGCTCTGCACTAAGGAATTATTCCTGCTCATGGGACCACATGGGATATTGGGATCAAATCCAGACTAGCCACATTCAATGTAAGCATCCTATCCATTGGACTATCACTCCAGCCCTTAGGACAACTCTTACACTAGTTGGGCAGTACTTGCCCTGGGGCAAATTACAGAAAATTTTACAAGTATCCCTACTCCTACCATATTATACAACAGTGCTGTTGCCAAGGTTAATCTCCCCTCCTTGCAAACGAATTGTTAGTACTAACTTTCTGACTTTCTCCTATCAGTTGTTTTGTTTTTTTGTTTGTTTTTAAATCTTCTGACCAAATATTTTCTCAAGATTTACTGTGGGAAACAGTGATTCAGATTTCCCCAATTATCAACTCAGCCACACCAGATGCCTTAGCAGTTTGTAATAAGAATTCAGATCTGAAGATCAGATAAGATTAAAAGAAACTTCCAAGGCATTTGAACCAAAACCACCCTGTCTAACAATACATTTACTGGGGTGGGGATGGGTCTTCTCCTAAGTTGTACTCTGCAGATCTGGGGTCCATTGTCGAAAATATTCAGTCAACTTGCTAGGTGATTCAACACTAGGAACTGAAGAGGAGGAGCTGATTGGGCCCTGACGTGCCACGGGGCCTCTTGGACTATACCCGGCGATTGAAGGGGTGCTGGTGCAATGTATGTGGGGCTGGAGTTTGCCTTGGGTCTGGTCCCCAAAGTGCTGATGTCCCCTTGCTCACAGCAATTTTATATACATTGCACTACCTAAGACTTTAAGAGAGATGCTAAATTTGATTAAGAGCTTGTGTTTGAATGAACTCTCCCACAGGATGCATTTTTCATAACACCCTAAAGTAAGTAAGTCTTGGTGTTCTGCACTTACCTGTAATGTCAGTATGCCCATGCTCTTGAATCATGGGATATGTAAAGTTAACTTACACATGGGCTGGAGCGATAGCACAGCGGTAGGGCGTTTGCCTTGCACGCAGCCAACATGGCCGACCTGAGTTCGATTTCTCCGCCCCTCTCGGAGAGCCCGGCAAGCTACCGAGAGTATCTCGCCCGCACGGCAGAGCCTGGCAAGCTCCCCGTGACGTATTCGATATGCCAGACACAGTAACAACAAAGTCTCCAATGGAGACGTTACTGGGCCCGCTCGAGCAAATCGATGATCAACGGGAGGGCCTTTACCTTTACACATGTCATACATGAATTAAAAGAAATCACGTTGGCAGGCCAGAAACACAGTACAGTAAGCAGGTAAGGTGCTTCCCTTACACATAGCCAATCTGGGGTTCGATCTCCACTACCAAATACAGTCCCCAAGCCCTGTCATGAGTAATCCTTGAGCACAAGAACCAGGAGCAAGCCTTGAGTACCCCTGGATGTGGCCCCAAAACAAACAAAAAAAATCAATGAAGTGTAACTCTTGGACAAGTTCCTAAGCGCACAGCAAAGTACTATATTTCATAGTATTTTATAGTCAAAACCTACTAGACTTTAAAGTCAGTTCTGAATCTTAGACACTTGATGAGAGAATGTAAAATGGTGTATTCACTTAGGGAAAAGGTTGTTGGCTCCACAGATGTTTAACCCAAGCATTATCATATATCCAGCATCCTATCCCTAGAGACACAGTCCCCTTCCCACTGTAGAGAAATGAAAACTGATGCACAGATATTTACAAAAACATATCCTAACAGCCAAACGGTGGAAACAACCCACCCGTATCTGTCAATTATAAAAATGCGGCTTATCTGTATAATGAAAAAAAATTTTTTTTTCCTTTTTGGGTCATACCCGGCGATGCCCAGGGGTTACTCCTGGCTCATGCACTCAGGAATCACTCCTGGCGGTGCTCGGGGTACCATATGGGATGCTGGGAATCGAACCTGTGTCAGCCATGTTGGCTGCATGCAAGGCAAACGCCCTACCTGCTGTGCTATTGCTCCAGCCCCTGAAATATTTTTTTTTGTCTATAAAAGGAGTACGTTTTGAAACATGCTATGCATGGATAAATCTTGAAAACAAAGTGAAAGAAGTCAGGGACAAAAGAATACTTATTTTATATTTCTATTTGTAAGAAAACATCCAGAACAGAAAAATCTATAAAGAACAAGTTCCACTGATTTGCTGGGAAGGTAGATAAAAAGGGTATGCACATTTCTTTCTGAGATAATGAAAATATTCTTTTGTTCTGTTTTTGAGCCCTACTGGGTGACACTCAAGAATCACTGCTGGTGGTGCTCAGGGAACCACACAAGATGCTGGGGATTAACCTGGGTCAGCCATGTGCAAGGTGAGCGCTCTACCCGCTGTACTATCACTCTGCCTTCCAGTGATTAAAAGAGTCTAAAATTGTGGTAATGATTGTTATATAACCGCATGCAGTAGAGACTGTACATGAATAATGATTCTGTTTTTCTTTCTTTGGACCAGAAGGAGTCTCCACTGTGGTGCTGGAGGCCCGGAAACCATTCCAAGAGATCCTGTGTTCAGGGCTGGCAGTTCAAATGCACATGCCACCGGGGCCACACCATTGGTGGAGCTGTGGGGAAGGGGATATATACCAGGATCACACAAGGTCATGCTCATCAATAGCTGTCATTAATAAAAAAAGAAATCTGTTCAGGGGGCTGGAGAGATAGCACAGCGGGTAGGGCGTTTGCTTTGCACGCAGCCAACTCAAGTTCGATTCCCAGCATCCCATACGGTCCCCTGAGCACCGCCAGGAGTGATTTCTGAGTGCAGAGCCAGGAGTAACCCCTGTGCACCTCTCAGTGTGACCCAAAAAGCAAAAAAAAAAAAAAAAAAAAAAAAATCTGTTCAGGTCAGAGAAAACAGTACAAGGATAAGGGATCCTTGGAATTGCATCCATCTTGATCCTTGGATATATATATGGAGCCCTGTGCCCTCTCAAGGGTGATCCCTGAGCACAGAGCCAGGAGTAAATTCTGGGCACTGCTGGGTGTGACCTGAAAACATACACATACAAAATAAATAAAAATTAATTTAAAATAACCAAACCTGTTCAGGAGCCAAGGATGTGACATACAGAGACTAGGACACACATGTGTGAGGCCTTGGGTTTGATCCTCAGCAAATATATCTGTTGAGATGTGAAGTTCTTGAGAATCAGCTATCTTCTCCTACAAAGCTTTTCTGGTCAATAATGAAATCATTAGCTCAAGTCTAATTTACTTCACTGTAATTGGAACCATCTTGCAGTAGTTTATTATTCACATTTCTACAATGTGAATGCAGTTTAAGAAAACACATCATTACATCACATATTCCAGGCAGTCTGCCACAAGACATTTTTACAAGAAAAAAAAAATCTTAAAAAGGGATTCATTTAATCAACCTGGAGTGTATGTTCTTTCTTGTTGCTTCATCTCCTTGTATGCTATCATTTTCCTAAAAAACCCTCATGTTTAAATAGAACAAGGCATAATTAATCCACTCATTAATTCAACAAACACTTGAAACGTTTTCTGCATAGCAGGTACCACTTAAGCATTGTGTGTTACACTGTGCACTTCTACAGCTTACAATCTATGAGGATAAGAACAACAGTAAACCAATGTTGGCTTAAAAAACCAAATATTAATGGTGCAGGGTTATTTGAACTGAGCGAAGAAGCAGCCAGCACACAAAGATCAGTGAAGGTAGGTCAGTAACTCCGGGCAGAGGGACGATTCTGGAATGGTACAATCATAAGGTGGGCAGAAGGGACGAAGAGCTGCTGGTGGCCAACTTTCCACTGTGCGCCTTGGGCACAAGGACATCTCCGAGATTGTGGCTAGAATATGTTTTACATACCTTACACTGTTAGGTCACCAAACTCTTTAGTGAGAAAAGGAAATCTCTGGTGTACCCTGTGTGAAATGATCTTGTTCCTTTCATTACTTTCTGAGCTACACCTGGCAGTGCTTGGGAGTCACGTGCAGCTCTGGGCCCAGGGACCATGCGGTGGCAGGAATCACACCCCCGTGCCCCACAAGCAAAGCTTGTTGAGCTCTCTCCAGCCCCTTCCTCTTCCTTGATGAACTCTTGAGTACTGCCTTTCTTACTCAATCTTTTATCCTACCCTGGTTTGGGCTGGTGATGCAGAGTTCTCATTCTTAAGTCAGACATGCATGTAATCGCGATGGCAACACAAGTACACACACACACACACACACACACACACACACACACACACACACACACACCACAGCCCCTCCCCCCACCACCCCGTGGCACAAAAAAAAAAGGTAGGCATAGACAATAAACATGAATCAGAATGCTGAGGTGGGCTACAAGGGCGAAAACTCCCTGCTGGAACAACAAAGGCAGCTTTACTGGGTGGTGGGAGAACAAGAGCAGGCAGAGCCCATGAAGCCTGAGGATGTGAACATGTGGGGAAATAGGTGGATCGGTTGGATTCCTACCCAACTTTAAATGTTTTTAAAAACCATTTAGTTACCAATCAAGTTGCAAACTCAAGAGGAAGTGGTTTTAAATCTCCTATATTCTAATACTTAGCACAGAGTTGGGCAATTATATTTACTCACTAGAAGAGCTATGATGTCATTTTGGCCTCAGAAATAGATGATCCCCCCCAAATCTTTTGATGAATTTTAACATACAGGACATTCCTAGAATATTCCAAAAACTAAAAGGCACTATCAGCAACCTGTAAATATATATACACAGCGTGCTCTGAAAGCATATATGTATAAAATGCTCACATATGTATCTGCATGTCTCCATATGTATAATCACTGTACCTGCATTCAGAGTCACTTGATTATTTTAAGCTTCCACTGCCATATCAAAGCTTATACACTTTTAAAAAAACAGATTAACTTTCCCATCCAGGCACTCAAAATCCCTTCCCAGTCCCAACAAAATATCTTAAAGCACAGAGAAAAAAACCCGACGTTTTGTTAAGGCAGTGTCAACATCTCTAAAAAATATATATATATATTCCATGGCCAAACTCACCATAGAGAGCTGTCCAAGTTTGATTAATTACATCTAGACACACAGTTCCTGACCTGAAACAGATGGAAAGAATGGCATTTTTTTAAAAAAAATGAGAAAGTTAGTTGCATGTATCTGGCAACTAATATTATTCATTAAGAAAAATACTTTTAGTAGATTAAAAAAAAAGGAATCCTACTGGTAAAGTATGATGAGGTAGCCTCAAAGGCATAAAGTGTCTCCTTATAAATCTAAAGGAAACAATAGTTAACTCAACTATGGAGAAATCAGACAACAGCGTAATCAGGAGATGAGAATCAACACCACTCCAGGGGCCTCCCAATCAGATCCCGAGGAAGGCACAGCCTTACTGTGTGGCTCTGATCAGAAATATGCACTCTGCATTTAATGAAGAAACACCAAACTCATGTTCTATAAAATGTCCAACAAATGACTGATCTGTATTCCTTCGAAGTGTCAGTTTTATTAAAAGTTGAGGAGCTGTTTCAGCTTAGTTTTTGTTCTTTTGTTTTTTCCCCTCATTTTCCCTTTTAGTTGATTTAGGGGATAAAACCACTGGTGTTCAGGGCTTACTCCCTGATCTGTGTTTGGGAGTCGCACCCCGCAATGCTAGGAGACCATGAAGCGTACTGGGTAGTAAAGCTGGGTTCCTGCATGCAAGGTATGCACCCAGCCTACTGGGCTATACCTGTGGCCCAGCTGCGAGTAGTTTCAAGAAACACAACTGAATGCAATACACAATCCTGGAACGGATCCTTTTACTAAGAGGGAGAAACAGCTAAAAAGTACATTCTCAGAAAATGGCAGAACAGAAAGTACTGCATATTCAGTTCCTGACCCCGGCTATAGTACGGTTCCACAAGAGACTGTCCTTGTTGGGATGACTGACACACAGAAGTATTAAAGGACAGTGGGGTCTGGTGCATGTGTACATCACACAGGTGTCCAAAACACCTCATCTGCAGTGCATGCATAGGATCGCAAAATTCCTTGTCATGACAAAGAAAACTGCAGAACAAATCTTCATGTATGCTGAACAGCAAGGGAAGGATGAAATAGGAAGCACTGGCACCCCAATTTAAAATATCAATAAAACATGCAAAGGAAAGAAAGGGATAATTAAGATTCATGAACTGAAATGAAACCGGTGACTCTTGTTTGCTTTTACTCTCAAGAACTGAGAAATAACTTTAAGGTCTGAAAATAGTAAATCTGTGTACTAAAAACAGATCTCTGAATTGTGTATACACATAAGAGAACAAAGATGCAGGATATTACAAATGCTAGCAGAAGGACCCATTTGTGACAATGGAAAAACTAAAGTATCCAACAGTGGAAACTGAACTACTTTAGAATATGGTGCCTCTCGGATTCTCCAGTTTAAGCGATCATTCACACAGTTCTATCTGCTGATAAAATCCAGACAGATAGCTGAGATCTTTTCACAGTGGAGAGAGAGATGAATGGTAATCAAGAGCAGTTGCTGCTAAGAGTTAAACATTTTTAAATAGTTACTTACGCTTCATCAATGTTGGGATGGAAAATTTTATTCATGAATCCTGTAAAAAGAGATGTTAATTAGCAGCAAAAAGTATCCACAAAAAAATTTTAAGTATATCAGTATTGGAAACAATCTCAGTATTGGAAAAAGGTGAAGATACCCACAATGCATTGTTTTGCACAGTTCAGGACCGATTTTGGAGAAGACTATATTCACCTAACATAGTCAATGAACTAAAACACATCAGAATTCTAGTAACCAAACAAGCACAATCTGGGTGTGATTTAGCTTATATAGCTTGTATTTTAAAAAAAATCATTACAAGAATGTGCTTGCTATGCCATAAAGGTACTTGCCAGGAGAATTTATTATACAGAGTCATTATAAATAGTGCCAGAAAAAAATTAACAAAATTACTGTGATTCCGCTCCTTAAGTTTTACTGTTCAATCTCCAAATTTGGAGGTTCTGCTTTTGAACTTCTCCTTCTGATACTCATTTACTGGTAGTATTGTTACACCGTGTGCGGAACATGAATGAAGCTGTTGAAACGCTGGAGAATCGCTTCCGAACCACAAAGGATTTCATAAAAACAGTTGACCAAAATATTTTCTTTAATTTTAGTCTGTTCATTTCAGGAAACCCAGTTTTAATTAAAATTGGAACAATCAAGAAATGAGGTACCAAGGTTTCAAAAATTTCTGGAAGATGGCTTTACCTCTCAGGGATTTACTGTTCTGAATTTAGTTTGCCTTATTCCAAGAAAATCACGTAAAAACAGATCTATTAATATTTAAATTCTGAGGATAAGTGATTCTCTAACATAAAAAGCAGTGATCAGATGGACTTCGGCATCTACAACTGACACAATTCTAAAGGAGACTCACCACCAAATCTGTTATTCTGATCACCTCAATTCCTTTAAAGAATTCCTTGCTCCATTTCATACTCAAGTTCCTTACTATGGTGACCCTTGCTATATCCAATCCCATTCTCCCGAAGCTCCACCTCACATGTTCTCTTCCTCACATGCACTCAAAATATATTTGGTCCATCTGTGCATGGTGGGCACTGTGATTATCTAGGTAGGGTACAGAATAAATCAGACAGCCCACCATTCTCCAGGAAGTCACTGCAGCAGAAGACAGAAAGTAATGTAATATGCCCAAGAGGTGACAAGGCTGAAGGAGGTCTGTGTGAGCAGAAGACATCGGGAAAAGGGCAGAGTCAATAAAGATCCTCAAGGATGAATTGCAACGTCGGTTCTGAAAAGCTACGGAAGTTCTTTGAACTTATGAAACAGAAATAAGGACACAGAAATTCCAAGTATTCCGGTGCTTATTCTAGCCACTCTAATCATGATTTTGTGTGAAAATATGGTCGCAGGACTAAAATCTGTAACATGTGAGGCATATGCTCTACCACTAAGCTACATCTCTGGTCCACATTTTGTTTCTTAAACCTGTGTTGAAAAATTTAAGCTTTTGTCTGCTACCCTATTAGAAAGCCCACACAATGTTTAGATTCCTCTAACACAAAAAGAATTTGTTGGTCATTACAATTTTATATTAATTTTTCATTAAGGAAGTTGATATCTCAAAGTTTATATGTATGAGGTATGTATTTATAAAGACTATACAACATCAATGGAAATATGCAAGTCTTAATTCTAAGAGAGTAAGAAAAATCCTCCATATTCTTATAAAAACTAATATCTAAGACCACTGACATGCAATGTTTATAAAAGCTAAAAATCAAATTCAGCAAAAGTCGGGGAAACTGAAGTACACCAATATTTTGGCAGTTCTGTATAGCCGAGGAAGTGAATTTGATTGGTATGTATCAACCATCAACCTGAATGTATCTACATATGAGAAGTGGGAATGCAGTTTGACACCAACTGAACTGAAAAACAATTATTACATCTAAACTCCAGAGCAACAAGTACAGAAAACTACTAGATGGGTATGAATCAAACTTATAAAAGTATTTCAGTGAGGGTGCAGAGCCAAGGTCGTGGTGGAAACAGGAAGCAGAATGGGGAATGGTTATTAAAACTAAGTTATCTCTAACTATACTATATTCCTATTTTTTAAAAAGATAATGTTCTTGTAACTCATTTGCTCCTTTAAAAAAAAAGTGTACATAGATAAGAAACTGCAAATATATACCAATGTCAACAGTGCTTGATTTTTCATGGTGGGGGCTGTTTTCTCAATTCTATTTTTCAGATCACATCACCCCCACCCACCTCCAGGCTTGGAGAATGAAGATTGCAGCAGTGTAAAAAATGCTAAAGGAAATAGGAAGCAATTTTCAATTAAGTTTGAGAGACTCCTCTATTATTTCTACTACTACCCTGGCTTTCAGAAACTTTTCTAAGAGGTTATAGTTAAAATAATGCCCTTTAAATAAAAAACTACAGGGCCTGGAGAGATAGGACAGTGGGTTAAGGTGCTTGCACTGCATTTGGTGGCCCAGGTTCAATCCCCAAAACATGACATGGTTCCCTGAGCCCCACCAGGAGTGATCCCTGAGCACAAAGCCAAGAGTAAATCCTAAGTACCACCAGGTATCATCCATAAACCAAAAATCAAAGTGTGTGAGTGTGAGTGTGTGTGTGTGTGTGTGTGTGTGTATAAGCAACAATTATAACTAAGTTATCTAGTGATAAACCTTGTTTTGGGACCGCACCTGGTGGTTCTCTGGGGAATGTGGTCCTGGGGATAGAACCAGGATCAGCCACATGCAAGGGAAGTGCCTGAACCCCTGTGGGGGCACACTTAGCAGTGCTCAGTGACCATATGTTGTGCTGTAACTGAACTGGGTCAACATACGCAACAAAAGCACCTAATCCCCTATATTCTCTCCAGCCCCAAGTAGTCTTAAATATAACTTCACTTAAAAAAAAAAGTAAGTTATAACGCACAATATAAAAGACACAAAGCACTCAACATTATATCTAGGAATAAACTTCTATATCAAATGCCAAGAAACTGTTCAATGAAGGGGGGACACAGATGTCAGAACCACTGAACAGTTTGAGAAACTTACTCTATTAATGTGCAAAATATTTTCCTTGAAGCTACAATAAGGACTTAGAATTGGGGCTGGATCGACTGTACAGCAAGTAGGATACTTGGTGTGCAAATGGCTAACCCAATTAGATCCCTGAGCACCACCGGTGTGGCCCCCAAACAAACAAAACCCAAAACTATAACAAAATTCATTCTTGATTCTGAAAATCCTGCCTCAGAATTCTCACAAGCAGCATCTCATGAAGCAGTATCGATGGCAAAGTCCCCACTTTGCCGGGGAAAGAAGAGAGTCACCTGGAGAAGGCACTGGAGAAAAGGAGCACTGGGTGAGAAGGTGGCAGGATTAGGGAGGGGGACAAAGCAAGGAAGGGGACTCAGAGGAATGCTGGCAAGGAGGTGACACGGTTTCCCCAGCACAGGGAGGGAGGCCTGGGGGAGAAGGCAGCTTCATCTAAAGCAGGTGAGGCATTTCCCCCACATCCAGGGGGAACTGTGTCTAGAATGCAGGCGAGCAGAGTGCATGGAGAGACTACTTGGTATGTGTCAAGCAATGAGGAGAGTGGAAAGGGGGTGAATGGAGAGGAGATACCAGGCTGGAGGTCAGAGAGGGGAGGCACCTTTGTGGGCCCTGGAAAGCAGCTGGCTTTCACTGAGTGAGGTGATGGCCCCGAAGACCAGTGCGAGGACAGTAACAGATATACAAATCCAGCGTTCAGCTTTGTCAGTCTAAATAAAAGCCTTTTCTCCTGAAAAAACAAAAAACAAAAAACAAAACAAAAAAAAAACCGGTGTGTGTGTGTGTGTGGGGGGAGCTTGTAGGGGAAAAAGCTCCCCAGGTCACTCGCCCTTGGCGCTGGAGGAAGAGGCAGGACTCACAGCCCAGTGCTTGCGTTCCGGGAGCAAGAAGGAAGCCGTAATTATTAGATGGCACACGGAACCTCAAAGCTTTAACCAAAGAAACAGGTATGGTGGTGGTGGGGGGACAGAGGGAAGCTTAAACATTTTTATCAAAGCCCTCTCTGAAAGATGAAGGTGCCTCCGCACTGGCCCCGGTTCCTCAGGCGACATTTCAATCTACATACTTTCCATGCTCTTTTCATTTTAACCGAGATCCAGCTTGGTGGAGTCCAAGACAGAGCCAAGATAAATAGCAGAGCCAAGAAGGGCTTAGTAAACATTCTCGAGTAATAAAAGGTTTGAAGCCCCGTCTCGAGGTCCTGCTGAGAATAAAGCGCTGAGGAAGGAAAGACAGTAAAGGAGTTAGGGTGCACCCCTATGCTTAGGTGGCCATAAAAGCCCCGAGCATCGCCGGGTGGGGCCTCGTGGTTCCTGGCACACCAGGCCTAAGCAGTACCACATCCTCAGGTCCTCACTGAACCATAGGCCTGGTTGGTCAAAAAAATTTCCATCAGCCTGCCTAAAAATGACACTGGAAAGAGCGAAGTGTTAAGAGGGACATCATGGGTTCGAGTTCCAGCTCTACCATTCACAAACGGTAGACGGCCAGAGTACTGAGAACAGAAGCTTTAAGGGGAAACAACCAATGACTGAGTCCTTAAAATAAATCAATTTTGTGAGGCTCCTTTTTAGGTAGCGTAGTCTGCAAACCACAAACACGTGATGATGGCAGCATGTGAAATACCACAAAGGAAGATACAGGAGCCAGAAGTGGGGGAGGGGGGAGAGAGAAGAGAAAGAGGAAGAGAGAGAAAAAGAGGGGGTTTGGAGAGGGGAAGGGAAGTGTGGGGGGGGAGAGTGCGCACGCGCATTTGGGTCACACCTGGCAGCGCTCAGGGAGCCATATCAGATGCCAGGGATCGAACCTACGTTAGCTGTATGCAAGGCAAGAGTCCTCCCCACTGCGCTGCCTCTGGCTCGGAGAGTCTTCTATAGTAGAGAGAAACAGACTTTAAAGCTTGCTTTTGGCCAGAGACAGTACAGGGGTTGAGGTGCTTGTCCCGCATGTGTGGTGCCCTGGCACCACCAGGAGTGCAGCACATCCCCCCCACTTCCCTTCGGAT